TTTTATGCCTACAGTTGTATATCATGTGTACCTCTCCAGAGTACTATTGTATTAACCAGAATTTTCTTTTGCTTATACTTCCATGAATCTATTTCATAAATATAACTGTGGCCCAAAATGACTTACGTGTTGAAGACTCTCCTGTCTATCTCTCATACTATCCTGTTTTTAGTGAAAAAAAAAAAAAAAAAAAAGAAAGAAAAGAAAAAAGAATGCCCAGATAAGTGGACCAGCACAGTTCAAACCCAATGGTCCACTGTTTATCTCAAGCTGTATTATTATCTAGGTCATTAGTTTTCAGTGGTTTCCTTTCAATATGTCTGGTTTATTTCATTTGTTTTATTTTGTTTATTTTTTTATGTTTGGACTTCATTGCATTTCTTTAGTTTGTATGATATTGTCTTTCAGAATAAGGGACTTTTTCACCTATTATTTTTTTCAATTTTTTGTTTTTGAACTGAATTCTTTGTCTTCTTTTTCTGGGATGTTTATGGCACAAATGCTAATACTTTGTTATTATCCCATAAGTCTCTGAGGCTCCATACTTTTTTTTTTTTCATTGTTTTTTTTCTCCTTATTCAAAAGGATACTTTCTGCTGATCCGTCTTTTCTCTGTCGTCCTCATTCTGAATTGAGTTTACCCAGTGAAATTTTTATTTCAGTTATTTCATTTTTTCAGTTGTAAAATTTCCATTTGGTTCGTCTCTTTTATTTCCTTGCAGAGACCATTTGTCCATTCATTTCAATAGAGTTCTCTATTACTGGAGCATTTTTTTTTTAAAGATTTTATTTATTTATTTGACAGAGAGATCACAAGCAGGCAGAGAGGCAGGCAGAGAGAGAGGAGGAAGCAGGCTCCCTGCTGAGCAGAGAGCCCGATGCGGGGCTCCATCCCAGTACTCTGAGATCATGACCCAAGCCTAAGGCAGCAGCTTAACCCACTGAGTCACCCAGGCGCCCCTACTGGAGCATTTTTTGATGTCTACTTTAAAGTCGTTGTCAGATCAATTCAACCTATCAATATTATCTTCTGTTGATTGGATTTTCCCAGGTGAGTTGAGGTTTTTGTTTTGTTTTGTTTTTGATTTTCCCTGTGTTGAATAATTGTAGACAGAGTGATGGCCACTTAAATATCATTGGGATAGTGGATCTTTGTTAAATCCTGTTGAGAATATTGTTTTGTTGTTGTTTTAGCAAGCAGTTGATCTGGTTAGGTCTACCCAACTGGCCTTCTGTAGGTTATTCAAAGGTTCTGTTGTACTACTAAGATGTGTCTTGAGTGTGTACCAGCAGTAGACAATCTGGGATATGAGTGGTGTTCTGTTTGTTAGTCAAATTCTTTTATTTGGTATGCTGAATAGGATCAGACCCATATCGTGCAGCTTAGACGTAAGTCCAGGTGTTTATTAAAAATTTGATGATGTCATTTTACTGACCTCCCTCTCTGTCACCTCTCTTGTGTGTTCTCGTTCCCTGGAATCCCCTTTTTCATTCCTTTTGTCTAAAATCTGGGATGTAGTTACAGTATTCTATATTTTAGTGATTGAATATCTGGGATCAAGCAGCAAAAAGGGCAGAGAAGGGGAAAGAGGAGGGGCAGTAAGTAGATGGTCCACCCTGTTGGAATCACAGCTTTAGCAAATAGAAAGTTCTGCTTTCTCAGAGAACTCACTAGCACAGTTAGCGTTACCATCAGCTGCTACCACCCCATAGAATTCTTAGGGGTGCACAGATTAAGGAAAAAAAGGGAAAAAAGTGGGGATAAGGGTTTCAGTATTTTATCTGATCATTAGGTATCTTCTTTCCTACTCTAAGTCAGGTATCTTCTGTAGCTCTCACTGGCTTCACCCCAGTGGTCCAACACTTGAACATCTCCCATGCGGACTTCCTCGTGATTCTCCTAAGGGGTCTCTCCTCTAACAATACAAATAATTAAATCACTATATCATGAATGATGCCATTCGGTTATCAACTCTTTTGCTATAGTAGCCAGTTCAGCTTGATTATTATTGGTATAATAAATGCTTTTTTAAAATTTTTAAGTTTAACATTTTTTTTCTTTAATAAATTCTTTTAATGTGGGCTCTCAGTGGTCTAACCCTTTATTTCCAATCCAGTCAAAGCAATCACACCATGAGTATTTTGTTTGTTTCTTTGTTTCTTGCTTTCTTTCTTTTTTTTTTTTAAAGACTTTTATTTATTTATTTGACAGAGAGAGAGATCACAAGTAGGCAGAGAGGCAGGCAGAGAGAGAGGAGGAAGCAGGCTCCCCGCTGAGCAGAGAGCCCGATGCGGGACTCGATCCCAGGAGTCTGGGATCATGACCCGAGCCGAAGGCAGAGGCTTTAACCCACTGAGCCACCCAGGTGCCCCTGTTTCTTTGTTTCTTTGTTTTTTGCTGCCCTGGGTATTTATCACCCTAATTTCTGGTGTTCTTATAGATGGCTGGGAGATATGATTTATAGGGGAATATGATTTCTGTTGTTTTTTTTTTTTCCCTACATTGTTTTCCTCTCTTTTATCCTAGATGAAATATCTCCTATAGGATTTTACTGCTGTTTTAATGAACCGAGTATTACTGTGTTACATAGGGTAACCTGAAACGCAACCAGAGGCTCCAATCATGTCAGGCTTGTACACATTGCTGATATTCAGCCATCCCCATGTGTTCTGTCATCTCACTGTGGGACCGTATGACACATGTCATTTCTCCTGCATTGAAATGTCTCTCAACAAGCTAAATTCTGTGCACCCCCCACTTCCCCTCCCTGACAGTCTGCTAGAATGTTTGATGATTTATTATCATTATTACTGCATTTATCGTGCATCAATAAGCAAGTTGTAGGAAAGAGATATAGATTAATTCACTAAAAAAAACATTGATACATTCTCAGTGAAATTGCCTATTATTCAAATGTTAATGCAGTATTTATGGCAATCACAACAAAGTAAAATATCTCTGGCTTAATAATAGTAGACCATTTAACTTCATAAATGTCTGAGATCTCTCTGGGGAGTGTTCAAATTGAGCTGCCAAAGCCACCTGGAGGGGAAAAAAAAATCTGAGTGTCTTTCTTCTTCTTCTTCTTCTTCTTCTTTTTTTTTTTTTTTTTTTTTTAACAGAGTACATCATTAGGGAAATTGTAAGCAATCAAGAATCACAAATGTATGTTTTTTAATATTTTATATAGATTTTATAATACATGTAAACTTTTTCTTTTTCCAAAATAAGCATGATCAATAAGATCTCTCAAACTAATATTGTTATAAAACATAAAAATAACATTGGTAACTTGTTATTCTGGTATTATTTTAGAATTCTTTTTAATGTAGAAAATATTAGTGACTGGGTAGCTATAAAGAAAAATAGGTATAGACCTGGTAGAAAAGAAAAATAATTTTTAGACAAAATTAGAGATTAACAAGAGGAAATGTATTCTAATCTCCATTTCTTCTAGGGGTTACATAGGTGCTATTGTGTCTGATAATTAGGTTAAAACACATAATGAGTTTATTGAATGCGGATGTATTTTCTCCCATAGTTCATCCTTTAAAGAATTTTTAAGTGTTCATCATTTACTATATAATATTCTCTGTACTGGAAATGCAATAGGAGATGATAATATAGTTATAGTTCTGCTAGAGGTCATACTCTACTAGAGGAGACAAACAGTAATCAAAACAACAAATAGATCACAAATTAGGGATCAAAAGGTGCTGCTGAGAAAACAAAGCAAGAAAGGGGGATTGAGTATGGGTGTCCTATATGAAGGCATCTTGGATAAGTTGCCACTAAGAAGACAGCTGAAGGAAGTGAGAAAATAGGTATCTGAAGAAAGAGACAGACACAGAAAGCACAGGTTCTAAAGCAGGTAAGCATTTGGCATATTCAAGAACAAGCAAAGAAGATTGTATGGCTGGACATAAGTGATCAGGAGAGAGAAGGTGGTAGGAAAGCAGGTTAGAGAGGTTGGGGGAACTCTGTGGCCTAACAGAGTGCCAAGTACTTTGGCCTTTACTATGAAGTGAGAAGCAATTTTGAGATGCTCTGATTTCTACTTTAAAAGACTATGTATCTCCAGTTAAATGAATAAATGACCACAGGTAGGCCACAGCACAAACTAAGACATGTACATTCCAAGTTTCCTGAGGCTGGAGCAAAGGAGACTGGACACTATTCTTTAAATGTAGTAGAGGGTCACCTGCGTGGCTCAATCAGTTAAGTGTCCAATCTTAATTTCAGCTCAGGTTGTGATCTCAGGGTCACGTGCTGGAGCATGGAGCTTGCTTAAGATTCTCTCTTCCTCGTTCTCTGCTCCTCCTTCCACTCTCTTAAAAAAAAAAAAAAAGTAAGTGTAATAGACTTTGAGGTATTCTCTGATGATTATTAAATTAGAAATAAGGAACATGGGAAATGTCCCTTTTTACTTCCAACTCACCATCACAGAAGGTAAGGTTATGTGCATGGGAGGAGATAAAATATTCTGAGTTTCTGTAATTGCTTAGTTTTGATGTTAACATGGTGGGGGTGAGGAGAAGGACAATAGTTTGACCTCCTTGTTTAAATTTTCTCATCCGTAAAGTGGGAGTAGTACTACTGTCTGATGCTAATATATGCTATTAATGCTCTGTGATTTATTGTTGTTATTGTTACTATTTATCTTGCTGATGAAATCAGATTTTTAAGCTCATATTCTAAGAGCTAGATGCCAAATTATGATATACAAGATAACATAATTAATTTCCCCTATGGAACCTTTTAGAAATAATATATTGTTCTTTACTCTTATGACCATATACTTCCACATTGCAAAGCTTATTTTCAAGTGTGCTCTCAATTATTTGATTAAAATCATTAAAGCCACCTTTATCACACACCAAGGAGATTTGATGTTGGAAATTTAAATTAGAATTTAGGAACATAGTAATTATTTAAATATGAGACAATATCAAAAACATTAATATGGTTAGATCACTTTTAATAATAACAATAAAATTAGGCACTGTGAGTCAAAACCTTGAGAACTAGTTTAAACAAACAGATGCTGCTGCTGCTATTAGATGCTGATGAAGGTATAAGTCTCATCATTCACACAATACTCTAGGCACTACAGTATGGAGGCATGAAAAGCCAAAGCCTGAATAATAGCATGTATATCAATTGTTTTTCTGTCATATAGAAAATATTTTTCATTGATTCTATGAAATGACCTATAATCTAATGATCCAGGACCATTAACAGGTTCTGGTCATAGATACTAGATTTCAAATCTTAAATTAACAATCAAAATAAACTTAGTAAACTTTTCTACACTGTTTGTCCAATAAATAGCCATTTGGAGTTTGGTAGTTAAATCTAGTGAGAGTTTTCAGATGCTTAGGATAAAAATAAAATTGATGTTTAAGAATTGATGCTGGAGCACCTATGTGGCTCAGTTGGTTAAGTGTCTGCCTTCTGTTCAGGTTATGATCCTGGGGTATTGGGATTAAGCCCCACTTTAGGCTCCCTGCAGAGGGAAGTCCGCTTCTCCCTCTCCCACTGCCGCTCCTACTACTAATGCTCTCTCTCTTGCTCACTCTCTGTCTCTCTCTCAAATAAATGAAATCTTAAAAAAAAAAAAAAAAGAATTGATGCCATTTTAGCTGCTTTTGTCTTTTTAAAAATACTTTTTAAAAAATTGACATAACATGGATATATTTCAAAATAGGGAAAAAAAAGTCATTCGAATCCAAGTTACAACATTTTAGGGTTTTTTTTGTTTTTCTTTTGTTTTTTTTGTAATGGTTACCAGAAGCACTAGTAAACATATGGATTGAATATTCCATTTGAATTTAAAATGTTACAACTTCTAAATATTACAAGGAACATCGTTTGTAAGTACTCATCATTTAAGGACTTGGTTCTGAGGCTTTAAGAAAGGCAGACAGCAGTCATTCCTAATGCATTTTCAGTAAAGAACATTTTCCTTTTTAAAATCTGGAGAGCCTATGGCTTGGCTTATTTATTTGCCGCATCTGCAGCTTAGTCACAGGCTTCAGTTGTAAGAATAACAAATCGGCTATGGAATACTTATTTTAAAGTATAAAATTACCCTGTGAACTATTTGCCTGTTTTCACATTATCACATTATATTTTCTCCAGTGAGACCTGGGATTGAGAGGATAATTCCTGAAATAGTGGAGATTTTTAGTTCTCTTCTTTTCACAATTTATTCTAGCCTTTTGATTTAGCTGTATGGTTATAACATTAAAAATGTATTTGAAAATATGCTTGTCACAGGATACGAAATAATCTTTTTTTTTTTTTTTTTGAAGACGGCCTGGAAGCACATTATATACCTTGCCATTGTTCTTTGATATTTTGAAAGGTGTTGTTGTTGTTGTTGTTGTTGTTGTTTTAGTTTTTGTTTGTTTTGAGAGGGGGTGGGTCAGGAAGGGACAGAGGGAGAGGGAGACAGGATCCTAAGCAGGCTCCAGGCTTTAGCTGGAGCTGACACAAGGCTCAGTCCCAGGACCCTGAGATGGTGACCTGAGCTGAAATCAATAGTCAGTGCTTAACCACCTGAGCCATGAGGCTCCCCAATATTTTAAATGTTTTGATTCAGAAATGTGTGTTTGTGCACATGGTGGGAGGTGGGGAGCCATCTCCAATATGAATGTCAGGAGATCCTAGTAAGATATACTATGTTTTAGCTGCATTCAGAAAAGACAATATGAAGAAATGAGAGGATGTTGAGGGTAGGCAAAAGAGAGAAAAAGAAAAAATATATATATATTGGTAGGGACTGTTTTCCCAGTGACTATGAAGCTTCTGTTAGGCAGATTGACTCACTGTGGATATAACTGTAATAACTGATAGAAAACTACATTGAAGCCTACATCCAAATAAAATGCTTTTGGTTGCTTTGATTTTGTTCTCTAGCATATCACAAGACATCAATAATAGAGTAATGCCACAAAATAACAGTCTTTTCTTTATTCAACAAACACTTACTGATGACCCAGTTTTCTTGCTGTATTGCATATCTCTCCCTACACATTTTCATATTCATCATATAGACTTGGAAGATCATTTATACCATCTGCACCTTGGTTTTATTACCACCAAAGTGAGAATAAGCCCAATAATTATAACATAACACTAACATGAAGAATCAATGAAGTAATCTATTCATAGTGCTTAGTACACACATAGGCACATAGTTAACACTCAGTGATCGCTGTCGTAAGTATGGGTTAATACCATTTCATGAACTGCGGAAAATGAGGTTAAACAAAATAAAAATAAGTTTATGTATCTCATACATGCTACTCATGCATTTGAAAGCCCTTCATTCTCACTGGATTGAGAGGAATAAAAGATATGGAAAGTAAAAATGAAAAGAGAAGTGTTTTGGTAGGGCATAGTTTCAGTTATGTCAAGGTAAGTATTACCTCAAGTATGTTTTTCAGAACTCAAAAAATAAAATAAATTCTGTTGTTAAATAAATTCTGCATTATTTTGCTCTCCCAAAAATTTGCAACAAAAAAAGAGTCCATTAATGGCCCTGAGATCATGAGATAAAAATGAATACCAGAAGCAACAACAACAACAAAATGTTTAACACAAGATTTGCAGATTTAACAAACCATAAATATCCATTCACCCTACTACCCTAAATCCCTTTTTTGGAGGGGAGGGAGACATTCAATCTACTGATTTCTAACTTTAGGAAAATGCTGAATGCTGGTAATATGTAATTTGGAAGACAAAAAAGGAAGAAGAGGAAAAACAATTTTCTCATCCTTAAAACGTAGTTCAGGAGAGCAGTAGAGAAAAACTATGAGAAAGTACATATATGCAAAGGGCTATAGAGATGTGGAGACAAGAATAACAAGCTGAGGTAGCAGCCTCTTCTGAAACCAGCAGTTGTATGTGACTTGTGATTGTGAATGAAATATAAATTCACTTTGGTTAATACCTGGGTTAATAATTATCCATATTACTGTTACCTTCAATGCATGGGTAAATTAAAGTAGGCTACATATTTGAAAAATAGGTAAATTCAGATAGACATTGAACTTGGATTATATCTTCCACTGCATATTTTTTTTTAAATAAACAGGATCAGAATATTCTACTTGCTAAGTTTTATTTTCTTTTTTACATGTTAGTTTTTGGGGTTTTTTTTTTTTGCTATGTTTTGATCGGCTGTAGTAGCAAGTTCATGTCTGCCTTTTAGCAGTGCCATGTATAATGTAATGACATAATTCTAATATATGATAAACTTAGATTCTCAGCACTGTTCAACAGGAGATCAAGGGAATATTTTAATAGGTAGAACATTTAATAAAAGTGTGGCAGCAGTGTAATGTTCAACATTTTTATAACATTATTTCTAAATATTTATATTATTTTTATGCTAAAGTAATGGAAATTTAATAAGCCAAATCATTTTGATTAGACTCCAGTATGTCTAAAGACCATACATATAGGAATAATGAAACACATATATCGGGGTGATGAATATTTCAATATGACCATAGCAAAAGATAGGTATTACTGAGGAAATAAGTTTTTATAATTAATGTAGAAATCAAGCTATGAGTATATTCATTATGGAAAAGTATGAACTTTTTGAATAAAAGTAATATGAACAAATAAATTATTTAAGGAGATATTTCTAGTAGGTTTTCAAAGAATGATTTATGTGCTCATTTGCAGGTAGGGTAAATTTTAAGCTCTCTCTAGCAAACTCACTTGGTGAAATTCTATTAACAACAGAACTCTATTAGAGAAAAGATGTACTAATCTGTATAAAGAGACAAAAATAAATCTTCCAACAGTGATCTCTCCTAATAAATATCACTGTTCACATGACAGTTTCACAATATGGTCATCTGTCTCAAGAAGACAGAAATATATATGTAATGGTAATGATCCCTCATTGACCCTCTTTTTTAGTTGCTTTGCTGTAACTCATGGCTAAAGTTAATTGGGAAATAGCCAACCTTCCTAGGGATGAGCTTCATCTGTCTTACATGACAACCTCTACCTATTGCTGTACATCATAGCAAGGCTTAAATAGGCTCCTCTCAGCACAGGTCAAGGTGTGGAGGAAGAAGAACTATAACAATGATAGGGAGTGAACTTACCTTTATTGGCTCAAAAACTATTTTTAAAATAAAATTATTCAGCTCATTTAAACTAAAAAAAATCCAAAAAATGAAAAAAACCCATTTACTATTTCTCTAACCTCCCACCCCCTGCCTCTTACACCAATCTGTTCTCTGGGGCTTGTTTTTTGTTGTTGTTTTTGATTTCACATACAAGTTCATTACATGTTGTCATCCTCTATCTGACTTATTTTGCTTACCATAATGCCCTCAAGGTCCATCCATGTTGTTGCAAATGCCAAGATTTCCTTCATTTTTATGGCCAAATGATATTTTATTATATATATACATACATGCATGCGCGCGCATGCACACACACACACACACACACACACACTACTTATCCATTCATTCATAAATCAGTGGACACTTAGGTTGCTTCTGTGCCTTGGCTGTTGTTAGTAATGTTGCCGTGATCATGGGGTACATATATATTTTTTTCAAATTAGTAGTTTCATTTTCCTCAGATAAATACAGAATTGTTGGATCATTTGGTGGTTCTATTTTCAATTATTTGAGGAGCCTCCATACTGTCTTCCATAAAGGTGGCACCAATTTACATTCCTAACAATGCAGAAGATTCCCTTTTCTCTATATCCTTGTTATTATCTTTTTATAGCAACAATAACACTTGTTATTATCTTTTTGGTAATAGCCATTCTGACAGGTATGCTACTAAAATATAAACTATATTATTTGGGAATAAAAACTAGCAAAATAAGAAGAAATCCCACAACCATTGGTCTAGGGAGAAACTTCCATAATGGCATTGTGAGTTCTTTATTAAACAAACAACTCTCTCAAAATTGTCTTCAAGACATATAGGAAAGGGAGAAACGTCTTTCAACTCTTA